ATTTATTTATTTATTTATTTATTTGATTTTATATCTGGAAGCCGCCTAGAGTGGTCCGGTGGGCCAGATAGGCGGGGTATAAATTAAATAAATAAATAAATAAATTTATTAGATTTTTTACCCTGCCCCTCTAGACAATGTCTACTCGGGGCGGCTTACATAGAAAACACATCAATATAACCTATATAAATCACGGAAAATACAATTATAACAGTCACTTATAACAATTTATTCCAAATGAATCATTTTCCATGATTTCAGAGCAGCCTGGAGACCACTACCCACCTACCATTTTCCCATATTCTTTTTTCGGAAATAGCAAAGGTTTCAGCTGATTCATCTGACTCTCTCCGACATAGATGGAAAATCTGGCAGGATGTTACTTGTTTCTCTCCCTCTCCCAAGCCTGTTTTCCCCAGTTTCCATGTCTGAGAACAAAGAAGTCTCCATCTGCTGTGAAATCCCTGTCTTCATGTGGGGTTGATGCTTCCTCTGAATGCCCCTACCCTTTTCCCATCAATGACTCTTGAGCTCTTGTTAATTATCATTCAGAAGATTGAAGGAAGATAGGAGAGCACATTTCAAATATTTGAAAGGTAGTTCACCAAAGGGGGGGGGGCAGGATCTGTTCTTAATCATTTCAGAGTGGAGGACCCGTAATGGACTCAAAGTAAAGGAATGTAAGAAATAATAAAAAAAGAGATCCTCCTGGTTTAATATGATTTTCACATGAGATCCTCCCCATGTTATCGTTCAAAACTCTTCCATTTCTTATCTAAACAGGACGGAAATATGGGACTGGGTAAAAAAAATGCAATAAATCAAAAACAGATCCTCATGATTTCATATTATTTTCACATGAGATCCTCCTCAAAACGCCCTCATATTATCATTCAAAACTCTTCCATTTCTTGTCAAAACACGACAGAAATCATGCAGGGAGACAAAACCGTAAAGGAAGGGCATGATCCCAAACTGCAAAAGCCAGGAAGGATCTCCAGGGCTTTGCCGCTTTCTCATGCTGGAGATTCCTTGGCCAAGAGGCCAAATGAGGGTCTCTGCTCCGCCCAGGGTGGATCCTGCCAAGAGGCAGCTGGAGAAGCCACACTCCCTTCACAGGAGGGTTTGGGGCAGACCAAGACATTCTGCCGCCTGAGGCAAAGGACAGACCTCTCCCGCCCTTTCCCTGCTGACACGAATACTTCAGACAGACAAATAAATTAAATTTATTAATTTTAACACTAGAAGCGGGGCCGTGTTTTTAATTGGCTCCAACGAAGAGCTGCAGGACAGCCCTGCAGGCCCACCAAGAGAAAGGCCTGGGGGCTCAAGGAGGGAAACTTGGGGGCCACCAGTGCCCCCCCTCCGGCCCCTGCCGACTGTGGCTGCCTTCTCACGATTCCCACGATTTCTGGTTCTCCACCCCGAGCCTGAAGGGCCAGGAATCCCGGACACAAAAACCGACACGCTGACACGCTCCCTCCCGTTCACGGAACGGTCCCCACGTGCTTTGCTCAGCAGATTCAGCTGCAAATATTTCCAATGATTCAACTGGGGGAAATGATATCGGCAACCACAGTTTCCCCCTCCCTTCGTTTTCTTCTCACCCAGGAGATCCTCCTCCTTCCTGGCTTTCCTGCTCAGAAATGGCTCCCCCGTTTCCTCCCCTTCTCTCCTTCTTCTTATTCTTCTCGTGTTATTCTTTCCCAACATAATCGGGAGCCAAGGATATTTACTTTTTTTTGTGTGTGTCTCTCTCTCTTAAGTAAACAAGTTGCTGCTTCCAAAGCGTCCCTTTTAAAGTCGCTTCTTCAGGGGCAGGGTGAGAGGATGCATATATGCATTTTTAGAAAACTTATTTTCTTATCATGTCACTGAAGGCGAGCCAGGCTCCTGGCAGGAGAAACACAGACTCCTCCAATCTCCTCTCGGAGCGCCTGGATTGGGAGCCTTGGTCTCTCTCTCTCTCTCTCTGGGTCAGTGGATCAGGCAGAAATTGGGGGGGGGGGGGG